GTGTGTGTGTGTGTGTGTGTGTGTGTGTGTGTGTGTGTGTGTGTGTGAAAGAGAGAGAGAGAGCAGAGTGGGAGAGAGACAACTTAAAAACAGGCGAGAGACAACCAAAAGGTGGAGGTGGAAAATGAAGAGGAGGAAAGAGACAACACAGGGCGAGGGAAGATTTCTACCTGGACCAGTGTTGAACCTCAGTCACACTCTCTTTTCCACACATTGTTTCTCTTTCACACAAGAAAATAATGGCCCATCTCCAAAATCCACACACCTGTGCCCCAGTGAGATAATAGTTTTCAGTTCATAGCAGTAGTTAAGGGTCTGATTTCCTCTTGCACCAGTGTAAATCTGGAATAATTCCATTAAAGTTAATGGAGTTTACATGATGTAAAACCAGTGTAAGATGCAAATTAGATTAAAAAAATCCAAATATGAAAGGCCATCCTCTTGCTAATTTCAAGCAAAGATTCATTCCTTCTCCCCACGCACCACTTTCTTATACTCCTCTCTTTAGGTATAGGCAGATCAAACATTCAGTCCCTGTGCCGCAATGCCCCAATGATTTTAAATAAAGCTCACCTCAGATTGTTTTCCATGTCTAACCACCAACTGTCATGTTGTGGCATTTGGGTTTCTTTCCAAGCTTGAAATGCCTCTGAATAACTAGTACATAAAAAACGTGATAAAATTGGCATATATAAAATAATACTTAGCACATGTTCAAAGCACTTTATATGTTCAAAGAACTTCGCATAACACCCCTTTGAAGTAGGTATTATCCATTTTATAGATGGTGAAACTGAGACAGAGACATAAGTAAATTGCCCAATACCCAGCAGTAAATCAGTAGAGGAGCCAGGCCTAATAGAACATAGGTATCTGGACTCAGTCCTTAGTCCAGAAAACACTGGGACCAGCTTTAATATGACATGTCACTTTGTTCATGACCTCAGGTATATTCACTCTCTGGTGCTTAATGATAGCGATCCCACCACATTTGGGGTACCAGAAGCCAATGTGTATTTTTACAGTATGGCTCTCCAGACTTTGATAGCATAAACAAATCAATTTAAAA